TTGTGGATGCCCCAACCCTGGAAGTGTTCAAAGTCAGGCAGGATGGAAAGGGGGTTGAGCTAGATGAACTTCAAAGGTCCCTTCAAATTCCATGATCCTATGATTTTTAGGATCAGTTATTCCACGATTCTATGATTTTTAGGATCAGTCAAATAAACTCCCAGCATTGACCATTTACTTTCCCTTCCCCCAACAGAAAAGAAAAAGTTATTTCTTAAAAGTCAACCAAATTTACCGATACAACTAAAAACAGCTGAGCACAAGAAGTCACAGCGAGTATCAGAAGGGTGTTAACTTCAAACCCACAGCTTGAACTTACTTGGGTTACCTTCCCTTAAAGCCTTCCACTGTAGCAAGTGGAAGTCTCCTCTAAATCCATGCGAGAAAAGGTAACAGCTAGAACATCAACCATCTTATTATTTTTTCCACTTGCTTGCTCAGAATTGAGAAAAAATTTGGATTTTTTCCTTTCATATTTCAAGCATTACCTGTACCAGGAATGATCTGTGTCGGCATAAGATTCTCTGGTTCATGAGACTGACCCTTTGCACACTTCAGCCATGAGAAGACTTCCTCATCACCCATCTCCTCTGTCTCTGGAATAAAGACACAAAAAAAGTAAAATTTTGTACAAAAGTCACTAAAACTTTATAATACAGAATGTTGCTGCATTGATACTGTTTCTTCAGATTCTTACAGTGCAGGAGATTAACCTGGTGATCTCAGAAATAAACTATAAATACAGACCATTAGAACAGGATCTACACTTCTTTGCCTCTTCAGTAATTTTTCCCTTCATCTCTAGTAGTTTGTTATTTCCAACCACCTAAAAATCTTGGCTTCTAGCATCAGATTTGAAAACCATACTCTTTTTTTCATTATGCTTTCTTAAGTTACAGAATAATTCTGTCTTTTCTTGTCATCATCATCTCCCAAGCTTTTTCAACAAAAAGTACCTTCAACAAAAAGATCAGTTCCAGGAAGAGGAAACTAAGCTCTCCTGTCACTATAGCTACTTACAAAGCTAACAAGTAGCAAATTAATAGTTTGAGAAGTAGTCTGACAAATTTCTAATTCTTTAGATTTTTAAATCAAACTGGGCTTACAAATATGTAGCTGCATAAGCTGCATGCCATTCTCTTCCTTTAAAAAGGAAGGTGGGGGAAAGTGCGAGTGGGGTAGAAGATGAGAATGATCACATAAAACTTCATTTCAGGGTCCTTTAGACCTGGTATCTGCATAGGTTGTTTCTACAGCACAAAGTTCTCCATGTTAGAGAAAGGAGTTCTCTGCAATGTCTGCTTACTAGTTCATCTTGTGATGGTTCCAAACTGTTAAGGTATTCCTTAATTTTTCTTTTATACTCTCCAAGGAAAAGACAGAACTATACAGTAGTCTGTCTCAGTACACAGCCTATGCCTGCTCATGTTATCATTTTAATATACAAATTCTAACCAAATAGATAAAACACAGGTATCTAAGGAAATGAAGAATGGAACAGCATATAAGACAGTAGTGCCAGAATTCCAAAACTCCAGCCTCCCAGGCTGATGCTCACTAACTCTCCCACAAAACCTTAAGCAACTCCTGAGAAACTATCCCCACTGAAAGCCAGGCAGTTAAAAGATTACAGTGGAAGGAAAAAACTCAGTACTCACCGCTACGCGGACGATTCTTCCTCAGTCGGTAACAGTCCAGACAGACCCCAAAACCACACTTGCGACAAACCCAATGAATATTGAAAAGCGTTGTCTCACATACATCACACATTTCCCTCACACCACGTACTGCTCGCTTCCATGCCACTTTCTCTATAAAGAGAAGGAACATCAGGAATTATAGCTTTGACGTTTTTGCATTTCTCCCACTTCATCTGAGAATATCACAGTAACATTGATAAAGAAACAATTCACAGAAACATGACTTGAGGGCAGAGTACAGAAACACATAGTTTTTGCATCCAGAACCACATTCTTTGAGATACTATTCTTGTGACACTGCTAAAATCCCAATTTTTAAGAATGGGTAAGGTCAAGTCCCAAAATGCACACACTACGAGGAAATGGAGCACCTTAAAAAGTTCGGCAGTAACCGCATTTCAAGGAGCACTTACAGAACTTACAGCAAAATTCTAAAACTTCTGCTAGTTTTATGAACAAATAATGTGAACTTATAAAACTATAAAGAATGCTTATTTAGTTCTACTAATAGGATGCCCATCAACTCCTTGGATTCTAAACCAACACATTCGCTGAGGAAGGTGAAGTTCTCTCCAAATGGCTGCCCTTGAACATTCTAGAAGCTAAAGGGAAAAATCACATAGTCAGAGCTATCCATGTGGCAGGTTGAACTGGATACCTTTAGAAAATTTTTTCTAAACCCACTTCCCTTGTAGTGGCAACACTGTCAACTAGTTGCTCAGCTGAGTCCTTGCACGCTGAACACAGGTGCTGCTCTCACACTAGAAAACCCTGAGCTTTTATGTGATGTCCCTGGAATATGTAAGAGAAGCTGCTTGTTAAAGCACAGGTGGTCAGTGTGATAAGTGTTCTGGAGTCATTTCTATTTTGTTAGGAGCATGGGTCGGCTGGTTTCTGATTTATTTATTGAAAAGCAATTTAATGATGTCTGGGAAAGCTACTGTTAGCTTCCTTGGCAGTAATGTTGCACTGATCCAAAAGATGGTCCCACAATTACACACACCTCAAAGTAGTGAATATAGCCTTCTCTTTGGAAGGAAAGGAGAAGCATTTTAACAATAAATTATATTACACTTTCAACTCCATTCCATTGCATTACACACACATTACACAAAGAAGATAGACAAAAAACACATTAAAAGGCCAAGCTTACGATGCGGCTCCACCATCATCATTGCCTCCTTCTCTGACATAACCAGCTGGCAGAACTGGTCCCCAACATTGGCCAGAATATATTTGGAAGTTTCCAGATCAATCCCCTCTGCAGGGGAGGAAGAAGGAATCCATAGGCTCATGGCATCAGGGTCACTCTGCTGTGGATTCAAGAAACCCTCTACTCGTAGAATACCTTTCCGGGTAAATACCAACCTGCAGAAAACAGGATAGAGTATTAAAAAGCTGCTCAACAACCTTTAATGAACTTATGCCATCTATGTCAGAACATAAACCCAGAAAGAGGAAAAAAGGCTTGGGCTAGAGTGCTATATTCGACAGCTGATACAATATATGCAAATCCAAAGAACACAGAGAATAAGGTACATGGAGGCAATGACCGCAAAACCTACTAGAACGAATCCCCCAGCCCCAGTAAGTAAGAAATTCCACATACAGGAAATTATTACAGTTTGGTAAGTCACATTTCTCTATACTATTAAGCGAAAGAGATGTCAAAATTCAATTTATTTGGGCTGCTGCATGATTCCGCTTGTAAAATTGTGCATGGTTCTCACTCTCCATTTTAGCAGAGGAGAAAGTGATTTCCCAACTTTTGGGAAACCAGGATTTCACTTCTGGCTAGGGCTGCTAGTACTTGGCAACTGTTCTAATAGTTCACATTACAAGTCATACAAAAATCCTTATCATACCTACTATTCTTGACGCTGCTCTCCACAGAGACAAGTCACAACTATTTTATCAGTAGCTGTTGACCCTCCTAGTCTTTGTGTGGTACAAGGTATAACAACATAAGTTATAGAAACCTGAATGTCTCCTGCCAATAATAAAGGTAACTTAATTTTCAAGCAAAAACAATCTTGTCTTTAATCTCAATGCTAGATTAATTTTTAACAAGTTCAGGAAGAGAAGTAGCTATAATCCTTACTGGATAGGTGGCGCACACTGAAAATTCACTTCATCCTTTATATACGAGAAAGTGAACAAACATCTTTTTGGAAAAACATGCATAGCACTTGCTAGAATAGGCAGTTAAGGAAAATGAAGAGAAGCATGACAGGTCAATAATCTGTAAGACATGTACACAATACAAAGAAAACACAGGCAGTGTTCTACTCCTAAAAATCAGTTCTGTACTCAACAAAACCTAGTCAAACATTAGCCTCATGCTGGCAATGTTTAGTTACTTGTAAATAAAAATGTCGTCTCTGTTCTGAACTCCATATGAAAGAGGGAGAGAACAGTTACTACATACAAACTGCTACCCAACAGTAAAATTATACCCAATAAAGCAAATTCAATCTCCTGAGGTTGGACCTGGAGGCTCACTTAGTATCACATAGCTGTATCTTCCAACAGCAGCTCTTCGTGCCCCAGTGAGGGAATTCCAGTCAGGTCATGCAGAGAAATGCAAGACACTCAAAAGCTTAATTATTGTACCCAAGCACATTAAATAAGTCAAACATAATCACTTCGTACTTGGATGTGGCCCAAGCTCTACGCATAGATTACATATGAAGGAAGGAGAATTTGAGCACCTCCGGAAATGGAAGAAGCGACATGCCACAGTTGAGTCATCCTGCTCCTGCTCCTTAAATTTACGGTACCGCTCCAGACGGCACTCCCGGCACTTGTGCAGATGTGGAGCTACATTGATGCAAGAGCCATCCTGGAGAAAAGGCTCACCTGACTGCTTCAGCTTCCTCACTTTACTCATATCTTTCAGCACAGACTGGCCAACTGAGTGAGGAAAAGTAGAAGAAAAAAATCCATTAGTTAACTGCAATAGCAAAAGCATACTGTCCCAAATAAATGTACTTTCAGAGATCTCTATGCTAATACCCATGCAAAACCAATAAGACTGTTCAAGTCTCCAGCATACACACTTCTGTCCTGACAAATAAATGCTTAAACATTTCTCAAAGTGAGCATGTTAATTCACATACAATATTAAAGCTTAACGCTTCTTCTAAGTATCCTGTGCGCTGCCTACTAAACATAAATGACATTTACACCTGTGGTTAGTTCACATAGCAGATATTCTCGTATCCCACCTCCTTGTGCTTCCAAAGACACCCTGCATTCAAGTCATCACCTTTTAGGGGAGCTGTGCGAGGCCGGCCCTTTGGGGCTTGCTTCCCTTTTCCTTTCCCCAGCAGCAATTCAGCATTGCACTCTGCATTAGGGCCTAGCTTTGCCATCAAGTGGTCTGGGATTCCCTTCATACAAGCCCTGGCCTGCAACTGATCTTCAGAGTCACTCAAATCTGACAGGTCACTATTGGTACTGGAGTCTGAGTCCTGTTTGGATGTCAAGCTCCGCTCATCTAGAGAGAACCTTTTCACAGCTTCAAAAGGGGCTTTGCTCTCCTGTGGAAACTCTGCCTGTGAAGAGAAAAAAATAGGTGGATGCCTGCCAAACACATTAGAAAAAGTTTTCAGAAGAGGATTGTCCTGCTGCCCAGGCCCAACAGCTGGTTTTTCTTCTGTTGGGCTGGAGGAAAGTGTGGGCATCTCAATAGGCTGTGTCAGGTTGCTGGTCGGTGAGCTGGAACGGCCATTGCCCACAGTGGAAGGGCTCTGAACACCAGCTGCAACTGTTGAACCAGGAGTACTGGAGATCATCTTTGAAGAGTCAGTTGTTATAAACAAGGTTTTCTTCTTAGCTAGAGAAGAGTCTGTAGAAGTGAGTGATTCTGGCCAGCCGGAAGTGGCCTTCTGACCCACAGGTGTAGAGAGAGTAGAAACTCCTGTCTGAGATGAAGTTGCAAAGCCACTGAAAGGACTAAGTTCCACTTTCTCAGCAAATGCCAGGAAAGGATTTGAGGGTTCCTCTCTTGATAGCTTTGGGGGCTGTAAAAATAGGTTTTCATGACTATCTGGGGGGCGAGGATTCACCAGATTTCGTGAAAAGGCTGGAGTAAGGGTAGGCATAGATTCCACAGGCAGCTTCCGCTCCACAGAACTGCCAGACTGGGCTCCTGGTTTAATGTCTGTTGAAAGGATTTTACCTTTACAGATCCCAGGACCCACACTTTCTGTACACTGCTTGAGTGAGTCTTGACTAGAGGCATTTTCAGTCAAGCTTTCTGAAATGACTGTGAAGTAGTTACTGGAAGGTAAATTTTGAGACATGCATTGAAAAAACAAGTTCTTAGACAGATCAGAATCTTTCTGAGCCTCTTGTCCAGTACTACACCCAAAAGGAAATCCAGAAGGCTTGCTTTCTGGAGTCACCACTCCATTTGATTGGTTCCTTCCACCCCCAAACACCAAGGACTGGGAAGCACTTGGGAGAGACACTCCAAATCCAGAAGAAGCCAAAAGTGAATTTCGGGAATTCTGAAACAAAATTAAAAAGCATTAGCGTATTAAAGGATTCTTGTTTGATTCAGCAGTACTTTGGTTCATCTAATTGTACAATTAGCATTCTACTTAACCACCTGTAATAGAAACTTCCAGCAGAATTATTTACAATGAGTAAACTTCTTTGAAGATTCTGATAGAGTAGTTTTTCCTACCTATAAGCTATTGAAACTAATGAGCTAACAGTGTCTATTACATACTAAAGACACATGGAAGAAATGAACACTTAAATGTCTTACCATGCTTTAGAACAAAAGTGAGACACAAGACAAGGTGAACTAATTCATAGAAAAGCAAGTCATTTAAACTGCTGAATGTTTTAATTCAAATCAGAAAGAAGGGAACCTTAATTGAAACTGCTTTTCAATAATGTCCCATCTTTTATCCTCCCCCAAGATCATTCTGACAAGCTTCTCCTAATTAACCAGCACTTTTGAAATAATTAACTTAGTTTGCAAAGTTAATTAAACAAAGAAAACCCTGCAGCAGTTAGTGAACAAACTGTTCCTGGTCACAGCAAGCCACATCTGCTGACAGGTAGATAGATGCCTACGGAGTGGTGCCTTGAAGGAGATTACTCAATAGAAGTTCAGCACAAAGGGCTTAAGTTTTAGGATCTTCAAATACTGTAAAGCTTTCTGACTTGCAGATTTTTACTAGACCCATAACTGTGATATGAAATATTCACTTGCTCCCTTCTCAATTTATACTTAATCAGATTTTCCAGTTCTTACAGTCCTCCTGTAACTGATTATATTCTGCAACTAACTCATCAGTTCTATTCCTTTTGAATTTCCACTTAGAAATCTTGTCATGAGGAATACTCTTGATTAATACACTTTCATTCAAAGGCCATGTTCAATAGAACCACAGCCTCTGTGTAACACATCTTACTGGTCATTAGTGTCACTGCACATCTGCTATGAAGTAATGTTTAGCTTGTTCCTCGTTTTCAATCTTCAGCTGTAATAACTTTAAGAACAAATTAATGTTCCCCATGACAGTTCTTACAGATACTAGAACTTCAGGTATTTATTTTTAGAGCAAAAGTAATTTTCACAAACTGAGTTCTAAGAGTTTAAAAAGCATATGAATATGGATGCAAACCAAGCTTATTAAGTAATTTCAAGGACCAAATCACACTATGATAAAGTGGACAGTCTGAAGCAATAACATAGAATCCTATGAACTACCTACAACACTCTTACTGATTTATGTCAGGTTCCCTCCCTCAAGCAAAATACAGTTTGAAATGGACTAGTGGTCCACCTGCAAATTCTGAAGCCAGATTACTAACAATGACTTAAAGCAAGTGATTTGGGGCTGGGGAGAGGGAGGGAAGGAGAGGTGGTACTGAAATTTCTCAGTACAATTAAAGTTCTTCCTTAATACCACTGATAATAGATACAACTTTGACTGTTCACCTACACCCAGCTATCAACCTTTTTTTTTTTGGGGGGG